AGATAATTTGTCACATCAGCATCACATAGACTATTCTGATTGACACAGAAATTAGTATTCTGGAGCACTGCTATAGCCCAAATAAACAAATAAATAAGACAACCCACAATGCTACCCAAAATATGTGACTCTGGTTTACAGGTCAAGTGGTAAGTAATAAGAAAATAATGAGAGATGAGAAGGATGGTGATATGAATTCTGCAATAAAGAAACATTTCAGAAATCTGTCACATGTGACAGCTTGGAAGGAAGACAATATATCTAATTCTTTTTTTATTTTTTCAGGAAGGAATAAAAGTTTATGTTTCCATTTAAAGAAACAAACAAGAAAAATATTTTAACAAATTTCTGAACCTATCAACAACTCAAAAGAAAGTAAAATGTTTAAATTGGGAAAGCAAAGCATAATTAAAAAAAAAAGAAATCAGTAATGTTTTACTCAAAAGTCATAAAATCCCATTTCATGATTTCAGTCTTATATTCAAACACTCTTCTGTTGAATATGCAGTGTTACCATGGTCCAAATCTTTCCATTTAAATCCTGGAAGTTAACGTTCAACATTATTACTGATATTTGTTGTCCCTAGCACTAAATTGGTCATTTTCTTGGTTGCCTTTTGTTCTGTATGTGTCTTTAGTTTTCCTGGTAGAGCGCTCCTTTCAGAACTTCTTGAAGTGGGTCTGCTACTGGCAAATTCTTTCAAGTCTTGTTTATCTGAGAGTGTTTTTATCCTTTTTTTTTCCATGTGAAATATAATCTTGTCGAGTATAGTATTCTTTGTTGAAACGGTTTTTCCTTGCTCTCATTGTTTCTGATAAGAGCTCTGAAGTTAGCCTGATTGGATAACCTTTGTAAGTAACCAGATGTTTCAATCTTGCCAATTTTAGTATCTTGTCTGTCTGTAGATTTGGCCAGTCTGGCTATGATGTGCCTTGGAGAAGATCTTCTTGTTGATTCTATTAGGGGTCCTTTGTGTTTCTTGGGTCTGAGTATTTGAATGCCTCTCTAGATTTGGAAAGTTTTCTTCCAAGATTTCATGGAATAGATTACCAATGCCCTTAGTAGTTTCCTCACCTTCTGGGATACCAATTATCTGGATGTTTGGGTGCCTAATGCTGTCTAGTATTTCTCATATAGTATTCTCATTTTGGGGGGTTATTTTCTCACTGTTTTTGGTTGTTTTTTTCTAGATCAGCGGTTTTGCCTTCAAAAACTGGGATTCAATTTTCTGCATGGACTAATCTGCTTTTAATACTTTTGAGGGAGGTTTTGATTTCCTGAATGGCATCCTTCATCTCTTATAGTGCCATTTGATTCTTTTTTATGGTGTGTATTTCCTCTTTCAGGTCTTGGAACTCGTTGTCTCTTTTCTCCTACATCTTCTGGGGTTCATTAACTCTCAGCTTTTGCATCTCGTTTAGTTTTGTCACTACGAATATTCTGAAGTCTCTATCAGACATTTCCATGAGATTTACTGTATTGTCTGTTGATGATGAGGGAAGAGATATTTTCCTGATTTCTCATGTTTCTTGTGCCTCTGCAGTTGTTGCTGGTCATGCTGTGACAAAATCTATCCTCCACTGTCTTCGAAATGTGGTATCCACAGAAAGATTAGTAGTTCAGATTTATAAAAAGAAATTTCTTCATTAAAGCAGGAGATTCAAGCAGTGAGGATTTCAACGATTCTAAAAGTATTCAGATGTTTGAATACTATGTACCTAGGCCTATCTAGACATTCAGTATGTGGAGAGTGAAGTTTAGAGTGGGAAAGTAAGGATAAAAAAAAGTAAGGATAAAGTGAAAAGGAAAAAAAGAAAAATACTACCAAACGAGAGGAACACTTTTTAAAATGCAAAGCATGGCTTCCCTGAACACACCAGGACACACCTCAGCTTTAAAATGGCTTCTTGTCTAAATATTTTGGGAGTCTAGGAGACCAATACACCTAATTAATTTGTAGTTTAAAGAAGAAAGTGGAAAACAGAAAATCAGAAACATATGTCTGCTGTTATTTGGTGCATCTGACAAACTAATACTAAAAATCAAAAATAAATGCACTTAGAAATGAATTCACCAGTTTAAAAGAAGGAATGAGAGAGTTAAAAAAAAAAGTCCAAAATATGGACTTCCAACTCATAGAGTTGGAAGAAACAACACTTCTCATTCCCAAGAAAGAAAGATAAGTAATATTTATCCAAAACCATTGCTATGGTTTCACTGTATCTCCCAAAAATTCGTGTCCTGAAATTTGGTTGTGACGAGATTAGGAGGGTAAACATTTCACTCAACTGTGGTGTTGAGAAGTGGGGGGTCTTTGGGAAGTGACAGAATTAAGGTCATCAGGGTGGGGCCCCAATGACTTGGTACTTGCTCATGGTTTACAAGGAGACGAGGAAGACACGAGACACACAGACACAGGCCTGCTTGTCTGCTTCGGCTACACCCCGCCCTTCACTATGTCGAGAAGACCCTCACCGGATGCAGCCCCTCTACCTGGAACCTCCTAAACCATGAACTAAATACACCTTTGTTTTTTTATAAATTACCTAGACTCAGTTATCGCTGTCATTATCAACACAATTAAAGCAACTATCTTGAAAACTTAGAATTGAATGAAACTTATCAATTTTACTGCCTAAAGAAGACCCTTAAAACAAACAAAACTGAATGTCTCCAACTTTGTCTTAAATATTAAAAAATCATTCTTCCTGAGGGCCGTCTGTCGCAGACTATAAATTATACCCTTTGTACTAGGAAGGCTGTAGCATTTAAAAGGTCCTGTTTCTCTTCCTAACATTTCTGAGGTTTACATAGTCTTATTATTTCCAAGGAACAACAGACATGAGAGGTTTTTTTTTTTGAGAGAGAGATTTTCACTGTAGGGCGCGTGCGCTCGCCAGACAGACAGAGAGAGACATAGAGACAGAAAGCGAGAAATCACCCCCCAGGGGGGATGGTCACGCCACAATCCCTTCTCCTCCATTCTCCTCTCGGGATCTTGGGCACGCACGCACACGCGCCTGGCGTGAGTTTAAGCCACCGGGTCTGGGACACGAACCGCGGTCGACTACGTGGGAGTCCAGCGACATAGCCATTACGCTAACTGCTGGTTCCCGAGAGTTTTTTTTTTATGGTAGATACGAAGATGTATTAAGAACTGTACAGTTTATAGGCATCATCTCCTATTCTGAAGACAAATGTGAGAATAATGAGCACTTCTGGTGGTAACATAATAACTTTAAGACCGAAAAGATAAAATACCAAGGGCCAGCAGGTAGCACGGTGGTTAAAGTGCTGGATTTCCACATAGCCAACAGTGGTGCTAGTCCTGGACCCTGCAGCTTGAAAATCACACTGGGCACATGTGTGGGCATGCCCAAAATGCCAGGAGGAGACTAGAGGAGAAGGGACTGTGGCATGGTCATCCTCTCTGGACAGTGATTTCTCACTTTCCCTCTCACTGTCTCTGCTTCTCTCCAGCAAGGGCAGGTGCTCTAGGACAAGAACTTCAAAAAGAGAGAGAGAGAGAAAGAGAGAAAGAAAATCACACAACCCCCTGGAGGGGTTTCTTACTTCCAATTTCTCTCAGGCAAGCGCATGTGCCCTATAGCAAAAACTAAAAATGTAAATAAAATATCTGAAGCAAAAACCAAGTTTTTTCCTTTGTTTGTTGCAGCTGGTAGATAGCCAACTACAGCAAACAAGTTAAGGTTTAAAACCTTTTCTAAAAGCAAGTCATTTCTGCCAGGATTTTAATATGAATTTACTTCTGCTGAAGGCTCTTCATGAAACATATCATGTCAGAGTAAAAGCTGTCCAGAGGTTCCAAAAATAATTTTACTTTCTCTGAATAGAAACCTTAAATTTTATCATTAACGTTTCTTCAAGTTAAAAAACAGTAGGATGGGGACCAGCAGTTAGCGTAATGGCTATGTCGCTGGACTCCCACGTAGTCGACCGCGGTTCGCATCCTGGACCCAGTGACTTAAAACTCACGCCAGATGTGTGTGCGTGCGTGCGTGCCCAAGATCCCAAGAGGAGAATGGAGAAGAAGGGATTGCGGTGTGGCCATCCCCTCTGGGGGGTGATTTCTCGCTTTCTGTCTGTCTCTGTCTTTCTGGCGAGCGCACACGCCCTGTAGCAAAAACCTCTCAAAATAAATAAATAAATAAACCCAGTAGGATGTCTCTGTGGAGCCATAAGTAGCATACCAGGCTATGGAGCTGGAAGCCATGCACTGACTATGGTTCAAGTCTCCAGAAGAGTCAGCCAGAAAACATGCCAGATGCATGCATGCCTGAGGGCCTGAGGACTGGAAAAGTAACTGTGGTTTGAGTAAGCCCTGTGGAGGTCTCTCTCTCTCTCTCTATCTCTCTCGTACGTATATGTGCTCCATCGTGAATTTATTCGGTTGTCAGGAAAGTCATGATGCATAGTTCTATGTTCTTCTATGCAAAAATGCATCATGACTTTCTTGATGATCCAATTTTAAAAAAAAGAACAAGAACAAGAACAAAACAGGAATTCAAATAACTGGGTCTGTCTCTGGCTTAACTTTAAGTCCCTGGAGGGCAGGTATATTAGGACATTCCTCAGTATCTAGCATGAGGAGTGATGAGTCACTAACTTTATTCCCAGGTTTTCAGTCCCCTCTACCAACTCTTTCTGTTATAAACGCATAAGAAAAAGCTCATCTTTCCAAGATCTACTTGAAGAGGGAATGGTTTGGAAGGAATCAGGGAACACATAGAACTCTGGAGGAAGGAAAGTTCAGGAAAAAGACCACAATCGGCTCTGAAAACCTTTGGAGCTGTGCAGTGAAGTGCTGGGCAGAGTGGGACTAGGTTCCTGAAGTCCCTTCGACCGTCAGTGAAATCTACAGAAATCACCAACTGCTGATCGTAACTGGAAATTACCGGGACAGGACGAGCCAACATAGGTAGGAGACAGCTGGATCACAGAGATGTGATTTCAACAGACATGGCGCCAATCCACTGAATTTATGAACAAAACTGTTTTTAATATAGTGCACAGATTGCATGTGTACACAGCATGGTTTGAAACAAAGAATTCAGAATCATGAAAATACATTTTGTGTCTAGGAATAAATGGACACCGAAGAATTCGTTTTTATTTTTTAGGGAAAAGGATATTCATTTTTACTGAAGAGCTGCAGCAATTTTGACTGAGAAGCTATCGTTTTCATATGATGCCATCTGTCTATTCAAAATATGCTAACTGAGAGCACCCCAGAGAGCACTTGACCACGTCTACTTCTCCACCTCCATTCTTCTCCCGCTGAAAATGAATGCTGATCAGATCCTCTACAACTTCTTCATCCACATGAAGGTTTTCTATTCCAGTCAGGAGCACTGTTCTCTTAGATGTTGCTGAAAATACCTAGGAAAGAAGAGACAATAAAGAGGAAAACTTCCAAAAGCTTAGCAATATGAAACTTTATCATCCTGCACTCTGCTTAGTCTTTTGGATTTTATTTTAGGAGAGGCAGCCTTAAAAAGATCTTTCAAGCAAGAGAATAAGAAACTAAAGTACGTAATTTTATCTTTCTGAGGTTCAGAAAGATAATTCTGGTGGCATTATAGGAAGTAGAGGGCTGGCTGGTTCTCTGGGGCAGTGGTAATGCATTACTCACAAGAAGCTGGATCCCACATGGTGACTGCAGTTCAGATCCCTAGCCCAGGCAGCCCAGAACATGCCAGGCACATGTTAGGTGCCCAAGATCAGTCCAGCAGGACTAAAGGGAGGGGGATTGCAATGTGACCAGATTCTGTGGGACGTGCTTAGCACTCTCTCTTCTCTCTCTCCTCTCTCTCTCCTCTTTCTCTCCTCTCTCTCTCTCTCTCTCATGTGTGTGTGTGCACTCTATCATGAATAAAGAAAAAAATGTTTAAAAAAGAGAATAGAGGGGGTCAGGAGGTGGCATAGTGGTTAAGGTGCTAGATTCCCACATGGCTGACCACAGTTCAAGTCTCGAACCCAGCAGTTTGAAAAATCACGCCAGGCACGTGTGCATGTGAGCCCAAAATCTTGAGAGGAGAAGGGAGTGTGGTGTGGCCATCCCCCCTGGGAGATGACTTTTCATTTTCCCTCTCTCTGAATCTCAATCTCCCTCCTTTCCAGCAAGCACAGGTGCCCTACAACTAAAATCTAAAGAAGAAAAAAAAAAGAAGAGAGAAGAGAGTAAGAGAAGACAGTTCCAGGGACAAAAAGTCCAGTTAAAGAGGTAACCAGAGGTGGAACTGACCAGGTCTAGTACCAAATACATGATAAAAGTGAAGCAAAATGGAGTAAGTAAGAGTTCTAGCTTTCAGGCTTGTGAACTGGTAGATGATGGTACCAGGTGATACCAGAAGGGACAGGGAAAGGCAGCCGGGGCAGAGATAATGACGCAGAGCAAAAGAGCAGGAAGAATTCTCTCAGGCCCGATGGTAACTGACACATGAGAGAAAACGTAGCTATGTCTCCACATATACAAATAAAGATTATGTCATTATCTGAGTAATTTCAGTTAAAAAAAAAGGATATAATAAACAGTTTTGCATTAAAACACTAAAACAAATTTATTCTGTACCAAACAAAAATTTTAAAAAACTATTTTTTTCCATTTCTTTCTTCCATGAGAGAGAGATGGAGAGAGAGACAGGCACCCCCACAGCCAGCCCTGGATGCTGTACATGCCCAGAGTTCTCAGGTTTCAGGACATGAACCTAGAACCTTCCCGTATGGGCTGGCCTCATAGAATGCTGCATTACTGCTGCCTACTTCACAGCCCCTGGAAGAAACTGTTTGGACATCCCTTGCTGGTAAGAGTCAAATAGTATCAGACTCACATTTTCTTTATTGTTTGTGATGTGGTTGGACAGTGAGTTCCCAAGAAGAAAGAAAAGAGGTGACTTTACCTGAAACTTTTTCAAGTGTGTTTCAATATGTGGAGAAACGGTGACACTATGGCAGCTCCGGTTTATATAAAGAGGATAGACTTTCTTTTTCAAAATCCTGTCAGCAACTAAAAGTAAATTTAAAAAAATAGTTTTTCAGCTTTCCATATAGTTAACATTTTTTTAAAGTTTGGATTTTTGTTGCTGTTTTGTTTTCTAGTTTTTTGTTATTAGGCATGGGTGCTCACTAGAGAGAGACAGAGAGAGAGAAGAAAAGTGAGAAATCACCTCCTGGGGAAAATGGCCATGCCGCCACCCCTTTCCCTCCACTCTTCTCCTAGGATTTTGGTGGGCACCCACATACACAGATACACCCAGTGTATTTTTCAAGTCACTAAGACCAGGACTCAAACTGTGCAGTTGGTCATGTGGGATCGAGCACCTTAACTTCCACACCCCCTGCTGGCTCTATATTATAAACACTTTTAACCTACATTAAAACTTTGTGCAAACAGAATGCTATTACAGCAAACACTGAATTGAGTAACTAATTTTTAAGAAACTCTACAGTTTACTGTGAAGACCTTAAAGCACATAATTTTAAAATACAAGACCAAACAACAGTGAGGCTCGAATTATCCCTTCTGTGTTAAATAAGCTACCACAGTCAATCCATGCACAGAAGGCTGCCGTGTCCTCAGACAGTTACCTGGAGCTACTTAAAATATAATCTGGGGCCAACAAGTGATGTGTTGGTTAGTGCACTGGACTCCCACATGATCAACCACAGTTTAAGTCCCAGACCCAGCAGCTTGAAAATCAGGCCAGGCATGTGTGTATGCATGCCCAAAATCCTAGGAGGAGAATGAAGAAGGGATTGTAGCTTGATCATTCCCCGGGGAGGTATGTGTGTAATTTCTCACTTTCCCTCTGTCCATCTCTCTCTCTATCTCTCCAGTGACTGCATACACCTTATGGCAAAAAAGGCAGGGGGTGGGGGAAGGAGATCAGCAGGTGGCATGGTGGTTACCGTGCTGGACACTTCCATGTGGCCAACCACTGTTTGAGTCCCAGAGACCTGGTGGCTTGCTTTCTTGCTCTCTCCCTCTCTCTGTCTCTCTCAGGTCAAATTTAAAAAATAACAATAAATGAATGAATAAATAAAGTTAAATAATTGGTTTTTTTAAGGCCTAGGCGGAACAAAGTGTATATGTATATACATAATAGTCATTTGCAGAAAATTTCCACTCATCCTAACATGGCCAGAGTGGTGCACCCATTTCTTAAAAAGTACACGTGAAAAGCATGATTAGAACACTAAATATAGGGCCAGCAGGTGCACGGTGGTTAAGGTAGCTGAATTCCCACATATCTGACCATGGTTTGAGTGCTAGAGCCTGTGGCTTGCAAATCACTCCAGGCATGTGTGAGTATGTGAGCGAAAATCCAAGAAAAGAATGGAGGAGTAGGGATTGCGGCATGGCCATACTCCCTGGGGGGGGGCGGATTTCTCACTTCTCCTCTCTTTGTTTCTCTCCTCTCTGGTGAGCACATGCGCCCTATGGCAAAAACCTAAAAAAAAAAAAAAAAAAAAAAAAAAATTATTAATTTCACAACAAGTGAGAGGTCTTCAAAAAGTCTGTGAAAAAGTGAAATTAAAGTATGAGTTAATTTCAGTATAAAAAATTTTTTGAAAACCATGCTTTTTTAATATGTGTTTTCTACAAACTTTTTGAAGGACCCATGTATTGACAATTTATATACATACATACACACACACACACACACAATCACATTTAGCATATTTCTTGATTGTCCTGTAACTAGCACATTCTATTCAGTAAACTGAAATAATGATGTTAACTTGAAGGTAGGAAGGAGTTAGGCAGGGTCGGGGGATTAAATATCATCTATGAAGTTTCATTAAATAATGAAAATTTATTGGTTTTCTCCAACACAAAGAATAGGGAACCAGCAGTTAGTGTAATGGCTATGTCGCTGGACTCCCACGGGGTTGACCGCGGTTCGCGTCCCGGACCCGGTGGCTTAAAACTCACGCCGGGCACGTGTGCGTGCGTGCCCAAGATCCCGAGAGGAGAATGGAGGAGAAGGGATTGTGGCATGAACATCCCCCCTGGAGGATGATTTCTCACTTTCTGTCTCTATCTGTCTGGCGAGCGCATGTGCCCTATAGCAAAAAAAACCTCTCCCAAAAGAATAGTCTGTTTTATGTTTAGTAGCAATTTTTTTTCCTCCTAGAGAAGAGAAATACAGTGTGTCAAGAAGTAGTTCTTGGGGCCAGTAGATGGCATGGAGGTTAAAGTGGCTGGATCCCCATGGCCACCTGCATAGTTCAAGTCCTAGACCCAAAGGCTTGAAAATCACGCCAGTGAATGTGCATGTGCCCCAAATCCTAAGAGAAGAATAGAGAAGGGTTTGCAGCATGGCCATCCTCCTGGGGGGTGATTGCTCACTTTCTTTTTCTTTCTGTCTCTCTCTAGAGAGCACACACACTCTATAGCAATACTAAACATAACAAAACAAAAAATATTTTTGGCCAGCCTCATAAGGCAGTGGTTTAGCACTGTGCATTGAAACCCAGATCCCACACTAGCTACCACAGTGATTTGAATCCTGACCCCAGAAAAACAGGGTAAGGACATGTGCATGCCCAAAACCCTGATGGGAAGGAAATGGGAGACGGGATTGTGGCATGACCATGCCTCACTGAGGGTGCACGCTCTGTCTCTCCCTCTCTCTTTCTCTGACAAGCACATGTGTCCTCTGGCAATGAAAGAAAGGAGCAAAGGGAGGGAGGGAGGGATTTTGAGAATGTCCAATAACTAACCCCTCTCCTTAGTTCGCTTGGGAGCAGTAACATGTGCAACTGTTACGAGTATAGATCCTTGCTGCCAGGGATGCGGAGAAATTGGAGCCCTCCACAGGGCCTGGTCAGGCCACCATCCCTTCCTCTAGTATTCTGGACTGTCAGATCTTGGGCATTCACACTGGGGTCATGTGTCCCAGGTGGACCCAGGCAGGGATCTGTACCGTGGTCATCAAGTAGGATCCGACTTCTCCTAGGCAGCAAGTCACCCTGCCCTGTGGAGCCAGCCCCTGCTATGTGATCTCAAGCAAGTTATTCCTCTGAGGATCAGAGGAGGTAACTATTGGCTTGTCAGAAAAGCCATGAAGTTTTTTTCTGTTTTTCTATGCTAAAATACATCATGACTTTTCCTACAGCCCAATGTGTAGACACCTGGCACCATGCTTGGCACATGACAATTGCATCGTGTGCAGGTAAGATTTATGTTCTTTTTGTAGATTTTTGCTATAGGGCACGTGTGCTCACCAGAGGGAGAAACAGAGAGACAGAAAGTGAGAAATCACCTCCCAGGAGTGATGACCATGACACATCCCTCCTCCTCCATTCTCCTCTAGGGGTTTTGGGCATGCACGCACACATGCCTGGCATGAGTTTTTAAGCCGCTGGGTCCAGGACTCAACCTGCAGGTCATCAACTACATGGGAGTCCAGCGACATAACCATTACACCATCTGCTGATCCCCATTATTTGTATTGCTGCAAATAACAAAAATATTATTTGTAGTAATATTATTTTAGTAGCACTCTTGTAAATCATTTTCTGGACTCTGTCATATTCTAGGTTAATAAAAATTCCCAATTATCATCTTAATAAATCTCAAGCCAAAGTAAAATAGGGATTTCAGAAATGGCAACGCATAGTTGAAATGTTAGAGCATGTGTCAACTTCCCTAATGGGTAAGTACCTCCAGTCTCCACAAACGTGATGACAGCGCTTCCAGACTGCTTATCATAATCCACATATTCCACCTCTCCACCTCCACTCCGGGACTTACAAAAGCTCAGTTCTAACTTGTCTCTCATCTGATCTTCAGGCAATTCATCAGGAATTTCAGTAACATTGATCTTCACTTTAGAAACTTCCACATGAACCTGGAAAGTCATTTTGAATTCAGAAATAGAGGTGAGGAAAGTGCTCCTGTGTAACAAGTCTGAAAAGCTCTCGCCACCACATTACCTGGAATCTGACTCCTGAGTGTAACGGAACCGGGCTAGCCAGGACCTCCACCTTGACATCTTCTATCTTCACCTGATGTGTCCTCATTCTTATCACATTCTGTGCAACTGAAAAAAATTTGAGAAGCCTTTATCGCCAGGATTTTAGGAAATTCTTATGCATTTGATTTAAGAATAAATTATCCTGAATATTTTTAATTTTCTTTAATTTTCAAGGTTCTAATTTCTAAATTTTTTTGAGATTTCCAAGGGATAATGGTCTTGCCACCAAAGTAGGATATACTGATGTCAAAATACATCAGCAGGGCCAGCAAGTGGCATGGTGGTTTAGGCACTGGACTCTCACATGGCCAACTGCAGTTTAAGTCCTGGACCTGGTAGCTTGCTTTCTCTCTCTCTCTCCCTCCCTGTCTCTCTCTGGTGAACACACATGCCCTAAAGCAACCTTTAATAATAACAATAATAATTCATAAAATAAATAACTTTCAAAACACACACAACAACTAGAGGCCAGCAAGTGGCATAGAGGGTAAGGTGCTAGATTCTCACATAGCCAGCCATGGTTCAAGTTCCAGACTGGATGGCTTAAAAATCATGACAAATACATACATACATAAATAAATGTTTTATTAAAATACATCAGCAAACATTAGACTGCAGGGGACCAGCAGTTGGTGTAATGGGTATGTCGCTGGACTCCCACGTAGTCGACCGCAGTTCAAGTCCCAGACCCGGTGGCTTAAAACTCACACCAGGCGCATGTGCATGCGTGCCCAAGATCCCGAGAGTAGAATAGAGAAGAAAGGATTGTGGGATGGCCATCCCCCCTGGGTGTTGATTTCTGTTTCTCTGTCTCTTTCTGTGTTTCTGGCCAGTGCACATGCCCTATAGTGAAATTTCTTTTTTTTTGGAAAATAAAATGAGAGTACAGAATTCTCACTAGGGACTGGACAATGGGGCAAAGGTAAAGCAGGATGCTCTGAGGGGTTCGCCCACATAGGAGGGTTCTGGATTCACATTTGGAGAGCTCTCTGAGCACAGCAGGCACATGTGTGCCTGGGACCCCAGGCTGGCTGGGGCGGGGATGGATCACAGTGTCGTAACCCTTTTGAGGGTTCTCTCTCTCCTTTTAACCTCAAATGACTAAACTTTATCCTTTTCTTAATAAGAATTATTTTATTTAACTTTATTTATTTACTTATTTTTTAAATTTGACCAGAGAAAGACAGAGAAAGAGAGAAAGTGAGAAAGCAAGCCGCAGGTCCAGGACTCAAACCGAGGTCAGTCACATGGGAGTCCAGTGACCCTAACCACCATGCCATCTGCCGGCCCCCACATAGCAGGGAAATCCTTTTATTCTTTAAAAAAAAAAAAAAAAAAAAAAAAAAGCTTCATAATCCTCTAATAATTTATCTATGACTTCAGTCCAGCCACACCCCTTTCTTCCCACTGTTAACAGCATTACCAGAATTCCCCTGGCACATTAATGCATAGCCAGACATTTTCCCATCTTGAGTAAACTGGGAGATTTTTCATGTGTCAGTGTAACTTCTACAATTAATCCTAATTTTACTCAACTTTATCATGTGTCGCTCCTCCATATGTAGCACCAAAGAAATAACCATTTTTATCTCTATCTTCCTAAGGATTATGTATTAAAGACGACATCGCCTTGATATCAAAGAGTGAGTTCAGGGAACCAGCAGTTAGCGTAATGGCTATGTCGCTGGACTCCCACGTAGTCGACCACGGTTCGCGTCCCAGACCCGGTGGATTAAAACTCATGCCAGGCACGTGTGCGTGTGTGCTCAAGATCCCGAGAGGAGAATGGAGGAGAAGGGATTGCAGCGTGACCATCCCCCCTGGGGGGTGATTTCTCTATTTCTGTCTCTATGTCTTTCTCTGTCTGGCGAGTGCATGCGCCCTATAGTGAAAACCTCTCCAAAAAAAAAAAAAGAGTGAGTTCTGTGATTTTTTTTTTGGCCATAATTGATGATGAATTCCACTTCTGCAAAAATGCCCTTGAGATCCTTCTTTACAAATGCGCTAGCCCTGCTATACTGATCACAAAACTGTCAAGTCTAATTTATACACACAGAATGGAGAGGCTTCATAATATAATTATGCCAAAAGTCATTAGAACTCCAAAGAGCAACTATATATCAGTTTAAAATGTATATGGCTGGGTGTTTATTCCTAATGGTGTAACATTAGATTAATATTTGGAGCTGCTGTTATTTATTATGAAGATAAAAGATGTTTCCCTCTTGGTCTTAGAAACTTCACATGTGTTTTTGACAACCAGATAGCATAGCACAGCTGGAGGAAGAGAAACAGAGCTAGAAGACAGGGCGTTGTCTTATGGGAATTCAGACTCACTGTACCACAATATGACTATAACTTGGAAGGGTTTTTTTGCTAATGACACAGACAACATAACAAAAAATATCAATGAAGTAATACTCAGATGACTCGTTCCCTCCACTCCCTTCAAGTCCCCTAACATCTGGTGATCTGACGCAGCTGACAGGGACTGCTGGTGTTTCAAACTTCTGTGACTCTGACAGTCAAAAGCCAACTCCCTTTGGTTAAACTGAAATGGTCTCAGGAGACAGGAACTTCTCCAGAACCATGTCATTGGTGGAAGCAGTAACTTAGCATTGTCTAAAGAGAATCCGGCTCCTAACGTTTCCAGGTAATTGTGCAGAAACCCTGCCCCCTAAATCCTCATTAACATCTCCTTCTCACTCTTTCTCTCTCTCTGGGGAGTACACATCCTCTTTGACAGTTAAAAACTCAGGCAGGACCAGCAGTTGGTGTAATGGCTATGTCGCTAGACTCTCATGTAGTCGGCCATGGTTCAAGTCCCAGACCCGTTGGCTTAAACTCATGCCAGGTGTGTGTGCGTGCGTGCCCAAGAACCCAAGAGGAAAATGGAGGAGAAGGGATTGTGGAATGGCCATCCCCCCGGGGGAGTGATTTCTTGCTGTTGTTGCTTCTGGCGCGTGCGCACGCGCCCATAAAAAAAAAAAAAAAAAAAAAAAACTCAGTAATACATGTGAAAAATTGTAAAGCAATAGCCAAATATCTATGAACAAATTTTGAAAGTCTAAGGTAACATGGTCAAATTTTTTAATGTGTCTTTAAAGAATTCTTTATCTTAATTTTATTTATTTTTATTGTCAATTTTTAATTTACTATAGGGCACATGTGTTCACCAGAGTCCAGCACCCCAACCATCACACAGGTCCTGATGGTCAAATGTTTTGATATTAGTCATACCTTCTTCCTTTTCAAAGGTGATAAGTGCTTGTCCTTTTTGCAGCTCATAAGGAACTTGAGAGCTTACTTGAAATGAATAGGAGATATTTGAAAATTGGCTGTCATTCTCTGGATTCTCTAATGACGCAAATTTTATCTCTGTTTCAGGAATATCCTCTTTAATCTAATCCAAACAAAAATGTTTGATTAAAATCAAGACAAGAAATAACTTAAGTACTTTTCATAATAATGTGATTGGACCATCCAATAATTCATTCTACACTGATTTTAGAACCTCATAAAATATTGAGTGTGGTCATATTTAATGTTTTTCATAATTCCTTCTTCCCATTATGTATGGGAATGCTGATCTTTTAATATCATTTTACAGATGAAATTATAAGTACATAATCCTCTCACACTTTCTACTCAATTCTTAAACTTGTTGACATTGTATGGTATGGTACTCAATTCTAAAGCTTACACCATTCATGTGGATAAGTACTTTTAAATGACTACCAATAATAGACTATCTCATAAAAGAATCATTAGACAGTATGATTTATTTTACTCCCAAAAATAATGCAATATAGAATTGGACATACTATAGTTGTTTTTATGGCAAGCCCAGACAGTTTCATCTACAAAAAAAAAAAAAAAAAGAAAGAAAAAGAAGAAGGAACACCATCAACAAGAATTGTAACAGAGACCAGCAGATATGTAATGGTTACATTGCTGGACTCCCACATGGCCAACCATGGTTTGAGTCCTGGACCTGGAGGCTTGAAATTTACTTGGAGCATGTGTGCTCAAAATTCTGAGAGATGGAGGAGAAGGGATGGGGCATGGCCATACTCCCTGGGAGGAGGTGATTTCTTGTTTTCTGTCTCTGTCTGTCTCTCTAGCAAGTGCATACACCCAATAGCAAAAATCTCTTAGGGAAAAAAAAGGATACTTTTTTTCTTTGGAGAGGTTTTTGCCATAGGGCACATGCGCTCACCAGAAAGACAGAGAGAGACAGAAAGTGAGAAATTATCCCCCCAGGGGGGTTGGCCACACGGCAATCCCTTCTCCTCCATTCTCCTCTCAGGATCTTGGGCACGCATGCACATGCGCCTGGCGTGAGTTTAAGCCACCAGGTCCGGGACTCGAACCACAGTCTGCTACATGGGAGTCCAGCAACATAGCCATTACGCTAACTGCTGGTCCAAAAAAAAAAAAAAAATTATAAACAAGAGGATAAAGTTAAAGTTACACAGTTACATTTAGTTGCTTAAACTCAATGGGATCACCAAACATACACAACTACTCATAAGTGCACAAATGAGTTAAGTGTTGCATTTCTATTTCCTATGGTTACTTTTTTTTTTTTTGAGAGGTTTTTTTGCTATAGGGCGCGTGCGCTTGCCAGACAGACAGAGAGAGACATAGAGACAGAAAGCGAGAAATCACCCCCCAGGGGGGATGTTCACGCCGCAATCCCTTCTCCTCCATTCTCTTCTCGGGATCTTGGGCACACACGCACACGCGCCCAGCGTGAGTTCTAAGCCACCGGGTCCGGGACGCAAACCGCGGTCGACTATGTATGTGGGAATCCAGCGACATAGCCATTACGCTAACTGCTAGTTCCCAGTTACTTTACATTTTGAACTGAAAGGTTTTACCACAGAGATTAGAAACATTTGGTGAACCATTTGATCTAATCTTATATTTATCCTATATATTTTCTCTTTTTTTTTTAAAAGAGAGATTTTTGCTATAGGCACATGCACTCATCAGAGAGACAGAGAAAAACAGAAAGCGAGAAATCTCCCCACCAAGGGGGATGGCCACACCACAAACCCTTCTCCTCCATTCCCTTCTTGGGATCGTGAGCATGATGCACACATGCCCAGTGTGAGTTTCAAGCCTCCAGGTCCAGGACTCAAACCACAGTTGGCCATGTGGGAGTCCAGCGATATAACCAGTATACTACCTGCTGGTCCCCCTATACTTTTTCTTCTATGCCAGAGGCATGTTCATATAGGAGAAGGCAGAGGGAGCACCCTTCAATAGGGCTTTGTCATGGCAATCTTTTTTTCCCTAATTTTCTATCCCATTAAACTCCTTGGCATGCACACCTAACATGTTTTTCAAGCCACCAGGATTGGAGTCAAACCTTGGCCAGCCATATGGTATCCAGTTTCTTCTGCACAGTTCTTAACAACTGCACCATGGGACCAGCTCCTAGCCTGTGTCTTTAGATACAACTTAAGTTACAACTTCAGTAGAATTTTTTGCTTTTGTACTTACTTAAATGGAAGAAGATGGTGTGCCCTCTCCTATTTTTTTTTTTGGGGGGGGGTGTCAACATCATGTTTGTGAGATTCATCTGTGTTCTTTGTTTTTAAGAATTATTTATTTTATTTTATTTGTTATTATTTCTTTAATTTGCTATAGAGCACATGTACTCACCAGAAAGAGACAGAGAGAGAGAGAGAGGGAAAGTGAGAAAACAAGCCATCAGGTCTGGGACTCAAACCACACTTGCCCATGTGGGGGTCCAGCACCTTAGCCACCATGGCATCTACTGGCCCCATTATCGATGTTCTTGCATGTAGTCATGGTCTATTCATTCTCTGCCCAGTGTAGGATTTAACTGTGTGACTATAACTGAATTCATAAATCCACATGGATTGTTTTTTATTCCAGCTATTACCAAATGTGGTACTGTGGTGAGTAATGTTTTTTAAGTCACTTGATTTTTTTTAGAACCATTTGTTTATTTATTTATCTATTTATCTATTGTGATTTTCGGGCCACCAGGTCCAGAATTTGAACCATGGCTGGCCATGTGGGAGGCCAGTGCTTCAACCAACAAGCCACTTGCTGGTCCCATGACTAATGTTTTAAAAGTGAATTCTGTATAATGTAATGGCTTTTTCTGAAAAGATTATGTCTATCAAAAAAATGACACAAAAAAAATAATTAAAGGAGTACCTGGAAGTCTCTGGTGGTCCCTTGTAACTCAGCTTCAAGCTTTTGGATCTCCTCCTTTAGCTGAATATTTTCTTTTACAAGTTCACCAACTAATCTCTGAAAAATATCAAAGGTACCCCCCCCCAAAATGAAACAATCCCTGGACTAATTTTTCTAAATAAATGAAAGATGTTAAGTATCTTTCATCCTGAGGAAGGCAAAGGAAAACATTAGACAGTCTTCAAAATGTAAATGTGTGTTATTTAAAAACTAGGCATAGATTTCAACCATTTTCATACCAAAGCAGACTCTTATTTTACTTTTTTCCACAAATGTTTTGAAGTCCTCGTCTATATGACTACAGGAATAGTACATTGGTTGAATATTTTACATCATCACCTGTTGACTCTCGTAACATTGCCAGGTATTACGATCTCCATTACACGAGCGAGGACGCTCCCTTTCCCACTAAACCAAAGTCACAGAAACTTGAGTTAAAGCCCAGACCCAGCGGCTTAAACTCACACCAGGCGCATGTTCATGTGTGCCCAAGATCCAAGAGGAGAGGAGGAGAAGGGATTGTGGTGTGGCCATCCTCCCAGGGGGTGATTTCTCGCTTTCTGTTTCTGTCTCTCTTTTGTCTTTCTGGCGAAAAACCTCTCCAAAAAAAGAAAAAGAAAAAAGCAAGGAATAAGACACAGATCTTCCAAGTCTTATCAGTGTCTAAAAACTCCCTTCCTACAATATGACTTCCAAATTGCTCTTAATTACAAGCATGTTCCTCCAGGGCAGGTTCTTTTGTAAATTAGTTGTGATTCCCATGGCCCTGACTGGCCTGGTTATGCCAGACATACAGCTTTGGATAACAACTTTAAACTATCCAGGTTTCTGTTCTCTCAGGATCTGACTAGCTATTTGTTAACTAAACTCTTTTTTTTTTTTGGAGAGGTTTTCGCTATAGGGCACATGCGCTCGCCAGAAAGAGACAGAGAGACAGAAAGCAAGAAATCACTCCCCAGGGAAAATGGCCATGTCACAATCCCTTCTCCTCGACTCTCCTCCTAGGATCTTGGGCACGCGCGCACACACACACGCGACCAGGATGAGTTTAAGCCACCGGGTCCAGGACTCGAACGGAGATCAACTACATAGGACTCCAGCAACATAGCCATTATGCCAACTGCTGGCCCCCTGTTAACTCAACTGTTAACTACTAATTGCACATCCAAGAAATGATGGAGTAAGAAAGCAACTGTCATAAGCCTAGTAGAAGAAAGATTAGAAGTATAATTCTTTTTTTTTTTTTTTTTGAGAGGTTTTCGCTATAGGGCGCGTGCACTCGCCAGACAGACAGAGACGGAGAGATAGAAAGCGAGAAATCACCCCCCAGGGGGGATGGTCACGCCGCAATCCCTTCTCCTCCATTCTCCTCTCGGGATCTTGGGCACGCACGTACACGCGCCTGGCGTGAGTTTTAAGCCACCGGTCCGGGATGCGAACTGCGGTCGACTACGTGGGAGTCCAGCAACATAGCCATTACGCTAACTGCTGGTTCCCCTAGAAATACAATTCTTGTAAGACTTGAATAACATAAAGGAAAAAATTTTAAAGCTTAAAAGTCTTCCAAATTCAAGGAAATATTAGACAAATAATTACATGTTTTACTATATCAATTTTTAATAATGTCCAGTAATTTTCCTTTTACCTCATTTTGTTCATCTGTCATTAATTCTTCATATAGCCAGTATTCCTGAAGAATTTGGATTTTGTTGTCTTTAGCAGCTTCCATGATTTCCTAATTATTATAAAAAATAATTTTTACAATAGCATATATACGTAAATCCAAAAAAGAAAAAACAACTTTTATCATTTAGGAAAGAAACACCTCTTTGCTATATCTTTGATTCTTTTATTAAAGTCTTTATTATCATGTGGCTTATATCCAAACAAAGTCTGTGTCTGAAATAACTTTTACATCTATAAATATATAAACAGGTTCTAAACATCCTTCACTTTCCAGTCCAATAACATATAGAAAATAACAGGTATTAACATTCCTTTGCGGGACCAGCAGATGGATTAATGCTTATGTGACTAGACTCTCATATAGTCGACCACGGTTCAAGTCCTGGACCTAGCAACTTAAAACTCACACCAGGCATGTGTGTGTGCATGCCCAAGATCCTGAGAGGAGAATGAAGGAGAAGGGATTGTAGTGTAGCCACACCCAGGGGGTAATTTCCCACCGCTCGCTTGCGCTCTCTCTCTCTCTCTCTCTCTCTCTCACTCTGTCTCTCCAGTGAGCATACACACCCTATAACAAAAATCTCTCAGAAAAAGCAACCTAATTCACATTGCGGTCATAATAGCCTACTCCATTTTATTTATTTTTTATATATTATTATTTTTATTTGCTATAGGGCTCATGTACTTACCAGACAGAGCCAGAGAGAGATAGAAACAGAGACAGAGTTAACCAAGAAAGCAGGCTGCCCAGTCCAAAACTTGAACCACAGTCTGCCATGTGAGAGTCCAGCACCTAAACCACCACGCCACTTGCTGGTCCCCTGTCTCTACTTTTGTTTTTTTAATTTATTCATTCCTTTATTTTTTAATTTAACCAGAGAGAGACACAGAGAGAGAGAGAGAGAGAGAGAGAGGAAAAATGAGAAAGCAAGCCACCAGGTCCGGGACTAGAACCGTGGTCAGCCATGTGGGAGTGTCTAGTGCCTTAACCACCATGCCACGTGCTGGCCCCCCCTTCTCCATTTTAAAGGACCACCATTTTGATACTGCAAACATGTTCAAAGGTTTTGATTTAAATATTTAATTATATTACTTCCCAAATGTAAATGAATTTAAAGGCTTTCAATATACCCTTTCTCTACACAGGTGTTCTTACCTGGAGTTTTTATAAACCTTCCTCTGGGTGCACAAACTCAGGTAGGAAAAAACTACATGTTTATTTCTAACAACTTCCAGCGGAAACTTACCACTCAGTTCTTTTATGAACAGACAACAAACTACAACAGTATTCACAGCACCTGTGACAATCACCAGCAGAAAGCAGATATTTTCATAGAACATTATGATTGTTGCAGACATGTTGAAATATTTGTGTTTAACCCGGCTTATATAGTAGTTAATAAACTTGCTGCTAGATCTTGCAATACACTGTAAAATATTGATATATATCACTATCTCAAAAATTTGCTCTTTTAATATTCTGATAATCATATTGCAATATAATTGGTTTCTTTTGTAATTCTATGCATTTTCTTCTTACTTTTTAAAATCCTATTTATTTTCTTGAAAAAGGCTCACAGGCTTCACCAGTCTGGCAGAGGAGTCCATGGCACAATGAAAGGTTAAGATGTTCTGCCTACATATGAATTTACTGACACAGAAACCCCCAGCCCCAAAATGGAACAACGGGGGTTAGGTGGTAGGGCAGCAGTAATGCAACTGGACCCACATGGACAAGGTCATGGGTTTGCATCCCAGGACTTCCCTGAGTGAGCACGCTGGGCACATGCACCAATATCTAGGCCAGCTGAGAGACTGGAGCGAACTTGGGTGTGAAGACCCTCCTTCAGGGGGACTGCCCGTGTGTCTGTCCCTTTATCCCCATAGAAGAAATAACTTTTTTAAAGCAGCAAAGAATATCATAACTCTCTTTACATTTTTAGCTGCACAGCAATAACGAGTCTGCAATAAAATTTTTCAAGATTTCAAGTATCTTAATTCTCAATATTCTTATAAAAGAGACAGAAAACATTGAGCCAGCCTAGAGTTGTGGTGGTTAGAGTGACTGAATCCCACCTGGCCAACTGCACAGTTCAAGTCCTAGACCTGGCGGCTTGAAAAACACACTGGGCATATGTGTGTGCATGCCTAAAAATCCTGAGAGGAGAATTTAGGAGAAGGGATTGGAGGATGGCCATCCCCTGAGGGGGTGCTTTCCTCTCTCTGTCTCTCTCTCTCTCTCTCTCCCTCTCTCCCTCTCTC